CATAGAAGAAAACAAACTAAGAAATCAAGCAGCCATGGGCATAATAATCATGACAGAAATATGAACTGGAAAGCAATAACATTGGCTGAATTAAGTACAAGAAAGCACCTGGATTAAGGCATAGAAAGTGAAAGATATTAGTTATTTTATTTGCACAAGCATTTAAAAAAAGAATATGTCAGAATCCCAAAGGTTAAAATCATTAGTATCTAACACCGGAAAATTTATATGGAGAAACCATAGTTGATGATTACTAATACTTGCATTTTCTATTTTTCCAATAATAATAGAAGTACAAAAAGAACGTTAGAAATTAGAATCCCAGATGCTAAAACCAAGAAAAATCAGTGACCCAAATAATGACTCCTTGAAAAGAACTATGTTTAAGGGGCGGGGGTGAAGGTGCATCCTACATGAGAGAGAGAGAGAGAGAGAGAGAGAGAGAGAGAGAGAAATTGAACAAATGCATTAGAATTCAGTATTTATGGAAGCCATGCATACCCTTCTTCTCCTAGACAAGATTCTTAAGAAGTAACTACGCAGTTTGAAATAACAATACACCAACAGATGAAATTGCTAAACCACAGCCTGCAGCCAAAAGAAAGATGAAAGGTAGATAAATAATGAGGAAAGCTTTAATCTAAGAATTTCTCTATGTAGAATCTTAGTCTTGTGCATCAACATCCCTACTCCTACCATTATTTCCAGCAACTAGCTCCGTGCATATAATAAAAAATGGAACACAAGAAGAATTAAATATAGATAAACATAAATAGCATTTTAAAAGAGGAGGTCACGTGAGCAGAAGGTGCAATATATATTTCAGTAATGTTCCTCTGTCGTTGAAAATCACGAAATACATGACCACAGCATATGTGTCAGCAGGTCTGATTCAATCCCACTCTGGGCTTATTAGCTCAGCCAAACTGGCGTGAAAGGACCGCCATAGCCTCGTCACTTTCATTACCCTTAAACCCTAAGAACCCTAATCTTCCCACCCAAGGAGGTAATTTCAAGCCTATAGTTAAAAAAACGCCAAAAGTATCAAATCATCAAATACTTTTCGCAATTCCACAAAAATCGACGCATTTCGTCATGATCTCATATCCCAAAGAAACCAGATCCAGATATCCAATATGAAAAAGAAACAATAGACTCCATACGATTCCGTTTGGTTACTGATAAAATGAAGGAAAGAAAAGTAACAATATATATGACTGCATACAATTTCTGCAACCTAAAGCTAAAATCTGATAGAAGAAACGACACAATTAGCAATTATCTAACTCCAATCTACACGATTACTTCTTCAGTTCGAGAATTTTCTCTAAACAAGCAACTTAATTCCTGTTTGGCCACTAAGAAAATGGAAGAAAATAATGATACAAACAGACGAATTACTCACACACTTCCAGTGATTTCATGATCAAGAAATAAAGAAAAGCATCAGCCATGTCTCGAAAACTTTTCTTTTACTAAAAAATTGAACACCAGAGAAAATGAACTCTCACCAAATGAAATTCCCTCTCAATTTCCCCAACTTTCTCGGCAACCAAACAGCAAAAAGAAAATAAAAGGAAAAAATAAGAAAGACTCAGAAATTCCTTACTCTGCTTTTTCTTCCCAAAAGGTCAAAAAAATTCAGTCCACAGAGAGAAGCAGGCAGCGGAGCAAATAATCCAATCCAACAACGACTCAAAAACGGAAATTCAAAACGTGAAAAATCTAGAGAATTTAATTCTGAATATCTTTGGAGTTACTTACTTGCTAAAACATGCTGGTCCGTTTTAGGATACGCATTGGCTCAGGAAATTCAAAATTCAAAATAAAATAAAATGGCTTCCAACTCAGGAACCCGAACTCTATGGGAAACGGATTTTTAAAAGAGCCAGAGGAGAGAGAGAGAGAGAGAGTCTTACTCAAAACGGCGTTAGAGGCCGGCGTTTCGACCGTTAAGCTCCAAAAGGCGAGTTTTGGTTCTGCGACTGTGGCAGACAAAATTGGGCGCTCTCAATGATGTTGAGTGAACAAATAAAAGAGAGGGAGAGGGAGAGTGCGTCAAATGATTTGTAAATGCCCTTCAACCAATAGAATGATTTTTTGGTTCTAAGATTGGAGGGCAAATTAGTCCGAAAGCGAAACTTTTAAAATATTGTCGTCTGCGGAAAAAGCGGGGGAGGAGCGGTGTCTGATAGCGCGCGAATCAGGTGAAATCAGGTACAAGTGAGATCGAAAATCTGTGCAATTATGCTTTGCCACGTTGCCAAGTAGGTGACTTTGCTTAGGCTTGGCTATTGACCCGTTAAAGAATTCACAAAAGTTTACACGTTAGAATTATACTATACGGTAATATAACACGTTAGATTGTCTGATAAGGTAATGTTTCGAGCAAAATTTCTACTAAAGTGACGTCATTTTGTTTTGTATTAATCGTTTAAATTTTGTGAACATAGTTGATAGTTTTCTCCTTGAAATAAGATGAATGATAATGTTGCAGGAGGACAAATATCATTGCAGTTTTACACTTTTTCAAACAGTCACACAGCAGGCAAAAGTTGGCAACTCTTGTCCCTCAAGATTGTCTGTATAAATATATATTGCATGGTGACACCAAACAATATTATTGTATTGAATGTTAAGGCCTCTTTTTAGGGAGGGGGCTCTTTCCATGAATTGAATGTATAACTTCAAACTCAAGCCATTCTTAGACGAAAGTGGAAACCCAAATCAAAGCCTGCCATTAACAAAATTTTCCTTTTTTCTTTTTAAACAAAAAAAGAAAAGAAAAAGAAAGATAAAGTAAAAGGGCCGTAGGAACTCAATACATAAAACTGAGATTCAAAGATTATCCATCCGAAAGCTTATCAGCGTGTACCTTCATTTATTATAGGTCATGATGCACATCATTATAGGTCATTTTAGCCTTTTCACATTAGAACATGTTTTTCTAATGATCGATAACAAGGCGGATGCATTGCACATATAGATAGAGAGTGAAATGTTGTAAAACGAGTTTGTTGTCGTTCAAGTGGTGAAAAACATTTACTCATAGACTTGATGTTTAGTGTTGGATTTTTCTCTCACCTAATATTATGTTATGCGACTAGTTTTATGCATATACACATTTTTATATTTTTTCGTATTAACTTTAATATAAACACTATTATGATGACCTTTGAGAAAATGCACTGGAGGGATATGAATCACCTTCATCTTTGGGTTTTGTTTTTTGGGCTAGGAGTATCCTCGCTTGAATTGGGCCTATATTAATGAAGTATTTCCTCACGAAAAAAGAAAAGAAGTTGAGACCGTTATAGAAAAGCCCACGAAATCGCAACGCGGTCGTTTTATGTCTCCCACTTCTAGTTTCACTGCAATCAACTTTCTCTTCTCTTCCCTCATCTGCCTTTGTCCTCACT